GACAAGGAGACAGCACTGTGGCATCTCCAAAGACTTGTGAAGATCCGAAAATATAGAGTTTGGTCCCCACGTGCCTTGAGCCCGATTCAGCTCCAAACACGATCTGACACCGTTATGTTCAAGTCGACTTACTATGGATTCTACGATTGACCATCCATCACATTTGCCGAAGATGAGGAGTGGGTACAGTGTGCTAACAAATGAACAAGCGGCGGTAGTCCAGCTCAAACGCTTCGGGAGTTCTTACTGCTTAAGTTCAACCTCGTCCAAGTAGGGCCTTCTCGGATTTTTGGTGGAACACGAGAGGAGTTGAGCTCTGGAAACCCCTACGTGTAGATGTCGCAGTCAACGCGAAGTCAACTATCCACAGCTCGAATGCAACGCTTTTAATACGAAAGAAAAACAAGGCAAAGTTTGCTTTTGTATGACACCGTTGAACCACCTCTTGCTAAGAAAATTCAGGAAAATTTTGAGACTCTGGACGGAGAGTTCTTCCGTATCCACGTTATAGCCCTGACCTCGTGCCAAATAATGCCCTTCTGCTCCCCTCTCCAAACCATCTCCTAGAGAAGAAAGCTCATCCTAACTATGATGATGTCAAAATCGACATCTGATCTTTCTTCGATCAGAATTCAGTAGAGTCCTACAAGGGAGGCATCGAACAGCTACTAGTGTGTTGGCAATAGGTTGTAGATATTGATGGTGGGTAGCATGCTGGATGAATGGAACAAAAAGATAATAAAAATATTAAATTCAAAATTCGGCCAGTTTGTTGCAAGACTTATGGACCGACCTAATATTATGCGCTCTCAATCCCGTCAAGGTAAACCAAGACTGTGGCCATTAGAATACGTTGGTCGGAACCAAGTAGCTGTTCGTATAGTAATGGACAAGCAGCTAATTCTCGTCAGCGTGTAGAATGTAGAATGAAATAATACATCTTTCACAGCTCCTGCCGCTCTGAATACGAAACAAGCAGCACACCTAACAGATGGGTCGCTATCAAGCAGCCATTGTTTGAGCTAGCAATACTATGTTATGCTTGATTTATACAGCATTCTTCTATTTTACAATATCGTGGGTTAGTTTTTTTAGGCTCAGAACTTATCAGCACTATTGTCACTATCACACTGACAAAGCCACTTATAATTTATTAGTTACTGATAAAGCAGATGGTAGAAACCTAGAGTAGAAAACTAGAGTCGCGGAAAAACAGCGGCTCGCAAGAGTTAGTAATATATATATTCTTGCAATGATATTGCATTACCATAAAGCATCATACAAGTTACAATCAATTTTTCCACCGTTATTTTTTTGTCTGTGTTAAACACATGAGGTTATAAGTATGTAATAAATAATTACAGTTGCACTCGAAGCACCACGAAAATAAGTAGAAGGATCCATATTGAAAGGCTTCTTGGCCTTGACCCATTGTCGTGATTAGTTGTAGGGTGTTGCGTATGGGAAGTAGCTGACCTAAAAAATGAATGGTTGAGCAGCGAAGAAATAATAAGAATGTGAAGCGCATACTGAGTGGCCGTGTAGGGCTGCCCTGGTTGAGATGGGGTCTGCGCTGGCTGAGACGGACTCGCAGCCGAGCTGAAGGACAAGAAATAGGAGTGAAACAAATAACTCGAACTGTTCTTGAACGTTTCAGACAGAACGTGTTGTCTAGGCCGGGACTCGACCTATGACCTAGAGTTTTTGACCAGTGTGCTAGGTGTTACACTACAGAGTTCCGCCTTCGGGCATAGGTAAAGCTAACATATATAATTTTTTGAGCTCTATGGCTCATAAGTTCATGTGTGAGGAATGAAAACCTCATGAATAATTAGCATATCTGAAAGAGTTGATAGTGAGAGAGCTATCACAGTTGAAAAGGCAAGCATAAGATTTGGCTTGAGTCTTGCTGGATCAAAGTATTTGCTCATAACTCCTGGTGAAAAAGTACTCACCATGAAAAGAGGCAAAAAAATTAGCGGCCGAGAAAACTTGTTCTTCATCGGATTCTTGGAACAGGAGAGCACAACAAATATCAGGAAAGGGGAGCCTCCTTTTCAAGTTTGGGCGATCTTACGGCTGAGGTAGCAGTTGCGCAGACCATGAACGTCAAACTCTATGGGAGATATATTGCGATATGATGTGATGAGAGGACTGCTTGCTATCGATTTCCTAAATGCTCAGAAATTATAATCAATAGCGGTAATGGCATCAACCACGTTGTCGTTATCAACCGTCTCAGGTCTCCAATTGCGTAGGTGTCCGTTTCAGATGATACTTCAACGAATTCACGATGTTCACAACAGTCATTTTGCCGCAGTCTGCTAGCCTCTTCCTGTCTCCTTAGGCAGGTATCTAGCTTCTCCCTTGCGCAGGTTACTCTCCCAACTATAAAACTATAGATACTCTAAACTATACATAGACTATAAACTTCCTAACTATAAATCGCTTCGTCTGTCTGTCATAGTGTGTGCCACGAAATTCCCTACTTCCTGTAGATCCGCCTAGAGAGATCCGATTGTGTGGGATGGGTGGCTATGTCTCGTGCAAAACATACATCAGCTAAGCGGAGTACCACCCATCCTGGGCGTGGTGTGCGTCGAAATGGGAGGTTTCGACGACGATAACTTCAGATTTGAACCGAAACAGCCGAGAGAACGTGGAAAAATGAGCGAATGCGTGCATTCATAAGCTAGATCGAATTGAGGAGGCTCAGTTTTTTTGCGCACTCCAGAAAAGAGGCGCTCAATGAATAACGCGTAACTCGGCAAGGAGAGAGCCTACAGGGCAGAACAAGAATTAGTGTAGGTAACCAATGTTGAACGTGTTCCTAGTATATAGTAGATAACGTGACGAGAGTCAGATCAATGCGAGGAGCAAACCCTTGAAGGAATCCTTCGCGGAAAATTCTTGCATTCTTTCTCAACATGAATGTGTCAGTTGTGATCACTGGAAACAGCACACAAAGTTTCACGCATGAAGATTCGGTTTCCGAAGAGAAACAAACTACAAAAACTACACTCTATGGACAATCGAAGGTAATTCGGGCGGAGCCAAAGGCGGGGCATGGAAAGTATTGGGGCGGCTACGTATTGACGCAATGAAAGAATCGGGTTAAAGCGTTCGATTTTGGAGAACAGAGACAAATAATCGATAGAATATGATGCAGTAGAAGTGTGAGATGTCAGTGCAATAAGTCAAAAGGTCAAAAGAGTTTTTCTAGTGACAGCACTCCGTGAACCAAGTGGAAGCGTTCCCGCCGCCAGCATTTGTGACAGATGTCCGGCGGGAATTTGAACGCGTAGCAGCCCTTTCGTTTTTCGAATTTTTACCAAAACAAATGCAATTTTCAGTTCTTTTCATTCTTATCGTGGATAATGAGTCTCAAGCCAGTGATTTATGGCTGAAATAGAATCATGATTTTTCCGCGAAGGATTCCTTTAAGTGGACCGCGATTGCTACAAGTCCTCATAATTCGGCTTCGAAAAGTCTTAGTGACTGGAATAAAAAAAGTGGATTTAGGTTCGAGAAGGAGGAGAGATTAAATGGTAATGATGGGCGTGGTCTGCCGGAAGTGAGCGGAGTTGGTCACTTGGTCCATAACTCGACTCTTAGAACTCCCAGAGCCAGAAAGAAAGGGGAAGGGGGTTAGCGGAGAGATGAAATTCAACTTTTCTTGAGGCGGGCGGATCATGCAAAAAATGGGCAGCGTTTACGAGACTCCATAACTAGGTTCCAAGAAGCCCCGCAGACGAGGATGTGATGGAAAGAGGTCGGCTAAGAAACGAAAGTCAATGCCATTGGTGGGCGGAGCTTGCATGAAAGTGGTCGAAGTTTGCTGCCGAATAGTTCGCTTCAGATACAGTCCAGAGACCGGGAAAGATGAACAGTGGCTGGCGAAGGAGGAAAAGCCAAATTCCATCGGTGTGTAGAACATGTACAGCGATTTGCGGGAGCTCGCCACGAAACTATATATGGTTCAACAGTTTAGGAACCGCGAAAAAATAAATAAAGGTTGGTGAAGGAAAGGATGTCGGCTGCTATCGGTGGGCGAGTCATGCAGCGTGTTGGGCGGAGCTAAAATCCTAATTCGCAACGTGGTCCAGAGATAGAAGGGGTGGCCAAAAAGAGAATAAACAGTCCTTCCATGTGAGATTTGTTGTATGGTACGTGTATTATCCGACGCCTTTCTCCAGAAGAGTAGATGGACGTCTGTTCATGAATTTGTGCTCACAACGGGTCCCTAATGGTAGGTCAGCCATCTGGTGATGCACCTCCGATAGAGGTGACCGATGCAACCACAACTTATGATGAGGTACACATACATATACATGTTTTTTTGTGTTCAATGTTCTATATGTTCTTCGCCTTGTTGTACTTGCGAGGATATTATGAGCTGCAATATTTGCTATGTTCATATATGATGGGTTGTCAGCGGTAGCTCGTGTAGGGCTCCGTGTCCGTGTAGGGGTACATGGCGTTGGGATTCCCAAGAGCCCTGGGGATTGCTTCGGAGTGTGCGCTTGAGTGCACTTTGCACCTGTTCTCGTTACCATGGGTTATTCTTCGCAAAGGGTGTACATATGTTTGTTATTCCTAAAGCAGCAATCCGTTTAGACAGGTATTTCATTCTGTATAGTATTCCACAGTGTCTCATCTAGGGCTTCTCCCCCAAAAGCCTGTCACAACACCCTGTTCGCACATGGGCGAATATGTCACTTGTCCAGGAGTTCTCGGCCGGGCTCCATCCTGACTCCACTTCCAATCGAGTTCGTTTCTTTTCGAGAAGGAATTAGTGATGGTATCGTGAAGAAGAATCAATAGTGAACTTCTTGCACTGATCCTGTTTCTTAAATGCTGGGAATTTTCATTGCTTTGGTTTAGCCACAATAAGCATACAGTTTTTGTTATGAGCAAATACTGTTTGTTATGAGCAATACTGTCGTTGCAATCCCGTAAAATGAGACTATATCAAGTCATTTTGAATAAAACGATATCATCTACTTTTGAAGTGATTTGGCGAATGCCATGCGCTGTTTCCCCATATCATGAACATTGCAGTATTGGCGGATGAACGGATCGCCGAGAATCCATGTAGGTCCGAAGCCACCTGATTCCATTGGGAAGACGGCAAACAAGCACATGTCCTCTCCGGCCTGCAATGGTTTATAAGAGCCAAAATAGGACACCAGCCTACCCGTCAGTTTTCCCAGAAAGAGTGCTCACCTTACTAGAACAGAGCTGGTTAAGAGCAAAAAAAGATAGATATGATAGAACTTTTTTGTTTGATGTCTTTAAAATGTTTTGTTAGCTAAAAGAAATCGCTGAAGCCGGTTGCGTATACTAGCACTGGAAAATTTTTCGGAATGTCATGGGATATGAAAGATGAAGTCACAGTACGTCGACCGTCCAGCATACAGAAGAAAATTTGCAGCATTTCGTGAAAGAGGCATTGTGAAAAAAATGGGGAATAGTTCAGAGTAAATCACATCCTATTGGTGGATGCACGACACGAGGAGGAGCAACGTAATACCTAAGCAAATGACATACAATATTGGTGGTCACATGGGTACGCTGATAGATTGTAGGGAGGAAATCAAAGCCATCCTTAAACCTCGTGTTAACACTGACGCCTCCGATTTCGGCGCTTGACACACATGTGTCATTGGCGGTATTGCATACGCGAAGTTTTAGTCTCATATGTGGGACTTTCGTGCGTTTCCCTTACGGGACCCACATAGCAGATTTGTTGGAAGGGCGCGGGAGCTTTCGTTCCCCTATACCAATTATGAATTTTCAAGTTTTGCTTGTTACTACGGTTCATAGGTCCAATAAGTGTTTAGCTTGGTTTCGTACGTATTTCTGCGAGCTAGTAGACGTGTTGATTAGGAAAATTTTGTGGTATATAATAGTAGTTGTTTTTGATTGCCAAAGGAATCGAAGTCTGAAGCGCAAACTGCATGCAAATTTCGTAATTGATGATAAGTTGTTCAGTAGGTAGGCGTATTAGAATCTGATTGTTTGTGTTGAAATTGAAGTTGTCGACATGCCACACGTTCTACGGATTATGAGACTAACGGAAGTCAATCAAAGAAATAGTCAAAGAAGTACTGAAAGGTTCATGGGGGAGCAAAATACAGATGTGCATACCCGGCGATGCACAAATGTCAGATGTGGGAGTTTCGACGTGCATACCCGGCGATGCACGCGGGCTGCAATGTGTTAATGTGCACACGTGATAGTTTGCTTAGAGCAGGCAAATCTGCAGGATGTCTGCCACGCACCGAGAAAGCAATCCCTGCATTGTGACAATTTTACGGGCTGATTTTGATGAAGCTTGCCATGAAAATCCTTTTCTCAGGGTTTGTTTTAGATTGAAATAAGCGCATCATAAAACACACTCGGACCATCATGAACTATCGAATCTACTCTGGCTTGGAGACGACAGAGCGTGCATGATACCTTTGAAACTTATACTGTAAATTTGCAGAGCACGAATTAACCTAGGTTCCCCATTTGCTCCCAGGAGTGCTCTTTCCCATGAAAATAACACACTGTCTGTAAGCTTGACCTTTCGCTGCCCACTGCAGTTGCAGCTTCCAGAAGAATGCGGTCGCAATTCTGGCAAAGCTATCATTGCGGCTTAAACTCGCGCTTTCCACTGTTGTTGCGGAATCGTTGGCCTTATTTTCGAAGAGCTGAGGGAAAAAATTCCTACTCACTTCCCTACTCACTTCTTTGTTCTTTCCTTTGTGCTCAACTTACATAATATGCTATTTTTTGCATTGAATGAGTTTTGTCAGCGTTGCTAGAAGCCTGCAGTCCCGAAAACTCGTCCACACGCCCCCTCATCATATTAGCCCCATTCTGGCGACGCTCCTAATTCCTAGTCATGAGTTCCTTGAAAGCTTTTTCAATTCTCTTAATATTGTGCTGTCCCGGAGCCTCATCAGCACCTAAATATTGTATAACACAGAGAGGCACCAAAATTTTATTTCAAAAGAATTCCAAAAGTTCAGAAAGTTCAAAAATTCCAAAAACTCAAAAGTTTCAAAAGAGCAAAAAGCTATTTGAAAAAGAATCCTTTTGAAATCCTCCGCGATATTTCGGTGTTTAACACCTTCTTCAGGCATGTGTTTGCCACCGCCAAGTGTAAAGCTGCCCTTACGGGAGCCGCGCCTTTCTCTTCACTCCAAAGGCGCGGCTCTGTGCTATACAATATTTAGGTGCTTTTCTAGTTTAAAGGCAAAAGTCGGGCTCAATAAGGGGGTATTATGGCGATTGAAACTGAGTATAGAGATGCGAAGTGGAACGACAGTGGAGAAAAAACTGAGAAAAACCGTCGACAAGGCCGTTAACAAAACCCTCTTTCCCACTAGCAGTGAAGGAGGCTGGCTTGGGAAAGAGGCACGTACAAACAAGTTTTCTGGAGATGTCAGTCGTTCTATCGGTTGATACGGCAATCAACCTAGCTGATTTCACACGTTATGCCAGCCACGCACCACTCCCGAGGTGGGCGGTCGTAGCGGGGCCAGGCGGCGATAGCGCATAGTACGTGCCCTGGAGGCCTTATTACGGCGCCGTTTGGGATTCTGAGCATGGTAACGTCTCTGTGGGTGCGTAGCCATGCACAAAGACGACAAAAGGGATTGGTTTGGTCCACTAAGCCTGACTCGTGCCTTTAAGCAGCCTTCCACCCATAACTTCGCAGTTGAATAGGATTGCTTCCTCATTTTTTTATCGTGTGCTTTGTCTTAAACAACACCCCGAACAAATCACGAATGATGCATAATTTGCTTAATGCATTGATGTACTCATTCTGTGGAGTCATTCTGCATCAACCCCTCGCCCACCCAAGGAAGCTTCAATAATGCTCGCCTTTACAAATGCTACTGTGGGAGGTAGTGCTATAAAGTTTACAAATCATTGCAGAGCTACATGCGCTCTAGGTTTTCATTGCTAACAGCCATTACACTGCTAAAAGAAACTCACATGAACGATGTAGTTTACAGGCTCGATGGGGTACTTATGAGATCCGATGTAGATATCGAGAGTTGGTGGCTTGGCATTGCAGGGAATCACATAAGAATCCTCGTCAGCAATGTACTGAAAATTTCTTCAAGAAACTTGTTGTCAATTTGTTGGAAAGAACTTTGGTTGACCGACTTTGATCACTTCACTGGGTACGGCTTTGATTTCGATTTTCTGAGCTTATATCCCTATACCCTCCATGGGTCACGGTATGTTTACCTATGCTCCACTTTAGCAGAAGTTTTTCAAGCGCAGCCGAATTGGCGGCTTGGTTCATTAATAGTTTTCATGCTATTCTCATGAACACGTCAATAAAAAAGGGTAGTGAAAGTAAATGCAAATCTAAAGAGACAGAAAAATACATGTTTCACTTGGGATAATCCACATCAAAAGTACTTTCGCCTTTTCATCACCGTGAATGGGGCATTCTCCACCTATGGCAGTGACAGTTCCCTTTTCTACTACATCCTATTATTTCGATTGTTTTGTCTCTATTTTCGAAGCTCGGTCGCTTTGACCCAACCCGTACAATGCGTCGTCCGATACATTTCCGGCCCAAGACGGATTGCCCCATGCGTTGCCTTTTCCGCCCAACCCACCTTCAGCCGTCCATGGAGTGTGGTTTTGCTTCTTCTCTAAGCAAACTGAATCTTTCTACGTTGTCTCTAGTGATCATAATTGACATATTCATGTGAAGAATGCAAGAATTTGCCGGGGACGACTCTTTTAATATTATAGAATTCGGCAAAGAAACTCTCTTCAGTGCCCGACGAAATAGCGCTACCCTCTCACATAAGAAGGAGGTTTTTGATCCCAGTGCTTTCGGAGCCTCGATTGTTTTTTTACTGGCTATCCCCTTCGTAATAATCTCATTTTCGAGTCGAATAATCACATTTTGTTGCAGGAATAAGCTTTTATCATGAACGCGGCAAGTTTGACATGGTCCTAGCGTAATTCGAGCGATAAATAACCTAATTTAGTGGACCTTCTTTAGATTGTTGTCATATTTTGGGATATGTTGTTGTGATAGGGTTGGATTGTTGAAATTTCCGAAAATGCTCACCTTTGCTCCAACAGCTCTTGCCAGTCTGTCAGTGATACTCTTTGGTCCTCCAATGAAAGATGTGCCGGTATCGGAGATGACTTCATATGGCACCTTGCTCTTATATCTTCCCACTCCGATCGCTTTCATCTACAACTTGATAGGTTTTAGTTGTAGGAGGACCTATCCATCTGGGTTATGCATTCGGGTTCGAAGAAATAGCTTTTATACGAGGGAACGCGGTCGTCAACTAAGTCGAAAGGTAAAAGCTCGGCAACCAGATATTTCAGATACCAAATGCGTTATAGGCTTATTTCCCTACTAACAATATCATTACAGCTGCTATGAAGCTAACAGAAGTCGTTGGGCGCCTCACCTTGAACTGGAAGTAGGTAGCCGAAGTGAGTGGCTCGTAGGCAATTATCGGCCCACAGTTCTCTTTATCAAAGCCTCCATAGGTGAACACTCCTCCATGAACTCCTTCCTCCTCACCTCGGTGGGCCATCCAAACAGTGAAAATCGGTTCATCAAGCAGATCTTGAATTTCTTCATTGAACGCCTTTCAGAACAGAATACTAGGGGAGAAAGTTGGATGAGAAATTAAAGAGAGTTGAATAGTCGTCGCGCCACTAATAATGGTGTGGAAAAGCCAGCCGCGCAAGAAGCACTTAACTTTTCTCCTCTTCTATCCTCCCTGCTCGCAAACGGTCGGTTCCTGGTTACTAATCGCAACAGTAACGTCAGGCTCGCAAAATTACAGTAGACATTGGGGAAGAAGTATAGGTAGTGCAGAAGCCACTGTTGCCTTGACAGTTTTCAGGCATTCAACGTATCGAACGATAATTAGGTGTTTCATACCTACTCTGAATAATCGATACCACATGGATTGGGTGAATTTATTATAGCCTTCAAGAGGATTAATGCCTTCGATGATTGAGCCGGGCGCATTTTTGAATCTTCAGTTCAATCCAATGGTTCCCATTACCACAGGAAGAAGCGCGCATGTTGAAGCACAGACTTCACACTTCAACGATATGTAATACCTGCTGCCAAAATCCGTGACATAAGTGAGTGGACGCGAGCTCTTTTTCGTTGTCTCAAAAGCAAAGTTCGTGCTCACACTACCTGAGAAGCTTTTGCCTTGGCTAGAAGTGCTGAATACGCAAGTGCAAAGGTAGCGGCACCTTTCTACATTTGAAGCGCATCACTAGGACCCTAACAGACTCCACCAAACTTAACATGGTCCGCCCACCGTTCGATATCTTGTCTGCGTCGCCACGTTGATCTGCTATGCTCTCTCTTCTCGGACTTCTCTACCACTCTCCGCGCTCACATTATCTCTCATCTCCCTGCTTTTGAACTTCTCCACAGCATGGAGCAAAATGCTCGTATTTCCTGTGTATTTCAGGATTTTTTTCCTTTTTTCTCCACTGGCGGTCCACCTCCCATCCCTACTTTCACATTTGAGTGGAATCACCCCATCAATTAATCCTGATTCTTGCCTTTAAGGTCATCAAAAAATGAAACCTCACACCACTGCCGACGAGGTCGAGGAGACCTATAGTGGTTTTGTTTCGGCACATGTAATCCCTATCCCGACGGAGGCACACATGTGCACCTTCACGAAGACTGGGACAATGTCGGTGCAGAACCACTACCAACATGAGGTTGAGACAACGTTGCTATGGCCCACAATCCCAGGACACTGTTATCTTGATGCTGAATCATACGGCGACAATTACTGGAATGAGCTGGAGTTTCTTGAACGACCGACCACGTATTTGCAGCTTATGAAGTGGAAGACAACCCCGAATACTGCATTTATTCACGAGTCAGGTCATTTTGTCAAATATGGTTCGGCATTAATACCACAGCAAATCAGGGCCGACTGTCTGTGGTAATTTATCAGTTAGGGATCGTACTTGGCACTTCTGGAGCAGGATAGGACATATAAGGGTCATGGTGGCGGACGATGAAGGCGCGTGTTGTAGTGAAAAGAGAGTGGAACCGTACTCGAAGGGGTTTTCACATGCTAGGAAAAATGTATAAAATGGGAACGGGTGGTATAAGAACGCCTGCCGTTTCTTAAATTGGGAACGAGTGATATAAAAACACTTGCCATTTCTTCAGTAATACTCATACCTCAATCTCCGTCTTTCCCACTCTCCCCACTCCTCCCCCCGCACCCCCCCCCCCCCCCCGATTTTCGAGGGGAAGTTTGTAGTGGAGTTGAAGTGTGTAAAATCGTCATAGAAAGAACAGCCATAGCGATGAAGGTGCTGAGGGAGAGTCGTATTTTGCGAGTGGCCTCTCTAACGCGGACAATGCAGGTCATATCTAAAGGTCTAAAAGTGCGAAGGGTCGTAAAATTTCAAAACTTTTCCAACCTCACGGTTTGACCCTGCGGCGGTACAATGTTTCTGCAAAAGAGGGTGTGGATAAATGGCGCTCGGCAAACTCTCTCCTTAATTGATCGTTATTGGGCGAGTTTGATGAAATGATCTGTATCTGTGAGGCTAGTAAAATAGCTTAAAGGAGGATTTTACGATTAGAATGGAGGTCGAGGAAGAAGTAATTCACCTAGTTGAGTAACCCACGGACCTCCTGAGGGTGCGAACTGATGCGCAATTCGCATCGAAAAATTTGACCTCGGCGACCTATTATGCCTCAAAGTTGGCGGGTCTGGCGATCTCCGCCCACCGACCAGCTGATCACTCGCCGCAGATCTATACGTGGGATTGCACCGACCAGCTGATCACTCGCCGCAGATCTATACGTGGATGATTTAGATAGCAGAGAGAGCGTGATGTTGAGGAGGGCACAGCGATGAGAGTCGCATCAATGCTCAAATCAACGGGCAAGGAAGGGGTCCCATTTCTCGGGTTCTGGGCCGTTTCTCATGGTTCTTCCTTCTTTCGTGTACCAATCACCATCCCTGAGTTAATTTGAAATGGGTTGCCTTCCCAGCGTGAATTCGTCCTTTAAGTTTTCCCATTCTCCTTCCCCTTACGCTTCACCCACGAGAACGAATAAATCAAAGTAGGACCTAGCTGTGAGCGTCGAACGACATTCATGTTCCGCCGTGACAAAACATTGTTGTTCGTGGTAGGTGGAAATCTGGTTAGAGTTTACATATGGTTTGGCTGCTTTCAAATTACGTTGAATAAGTGGAATCATGCATTTGTTTTAAGAAAAAAAAAAGCGACATATGAAGAGTTTGGGCTGAGAAGATACAGGTCTCCCTTAGAGATCCACAAGTGTACATGAGGCAGGTGTTAGTCTTTGCGATCAATTCCTAGCGAATTGCGCTATGGGTCGCAAATCTACCTGCCTAGTGCGTCGAGCTCTATTCTTCAGGTCATGTCTCATGAATTCTAACCTACTCACGTTGATCAATAGCATTGATTAACGGTGGAACAACGTTGTTTTCGGCGAGTGAAGTGAAAGCGAGACCGAGAATACCGTCAGTTGGGTCCTGAAGCGAAAATTGTGGACATTCTATTGTAAGCATATCGTGTCGTGCACTACATTTTCTAAAGAGGTGCCAATAATTTATCAATATATGTGATTTATCAAGGAACCTTATCCACTCACAGTTCTGAAATCCGACGAAATATGCGTCGCTAAGCCGAATGTGGTCTGAGGTACGGCGAGTTGAACTTCGTCTTCACCACCGAACTAAAACATTTTGTTTATAGTGCAACACAGCTCGAATTTCTTCACTTTCCAGGGATATCGTTTGGGACGATGAGCGCTTTCTCAACACGTTTTTGTATATGTTAGACAATTACCAACGCGGACCATCTAAATAGGTTTTTTTTTCGGACGGCCTTGCATGTCAAAAACAGAATTTCCTAAAATTTCAGCGTACTGCTTAGCTGGGGGAGGGGGCATCTGGAAGAGCTCAGCACAATTCTTCCTAATTCCCCAGCTAGTCCCTTCCTAGGACTGAATCTTAGAGAGGGACTAGATGGGGGAGCTTTAGGGATAAAGTCCAGCGGAAGGGAGAGGGGTGTACAAACATGGGCTAATGGAACCTTCTAAGCCAACAGGCTCAGACATCTCGTCCGGACACATCCCCTTATTTTGAGGGAGAAAAGAGGGAGTCCTTGTTCAAGGGCTTCATCGGTGGTCTGTTTTACTTAGTTGTTCTTTTTCATCGAACCTGGCATCCACAATTTTATTACTGCTGTCGCTACACGAATTTGTCTGGGTTGTTGCCTTTAACGCTACAGATGTTGTACAGTATATTAAGACATTCACGACGATGCCCCTTTTCCATTTTTCGGTCGCGTAGGACGCGATTTTGTGGGCGCCGCCTAACCTCACATCCGCAGATTTTGTACTGTAAATGAACAAAAACATGAATGTCACAAAATAATTTCAGCAATGTCCAATGCGTAAAGATTATCTAAACATATAACAGTAGGATTTCGATCAGAACGACGAATAGTGGTTACGAAAAGAGAGCATTTATTCACTTTCCCCGTGAAGGAATTTAAAAGCATTTTAACTCGATTACGAGATTTACCCACCTATCTTTCCATTCCTAGCGCCTGGCAAGCGATTATCAGCTGGCAGCCCATATGGGCTGCCATCGTCCCAGGAGCACATGTTGTTGGCAGGCCCATATGGGCTGGCCATCGGCGTGAATGTGTTAAAATTGAAATAGATATCCAGCGTTCTTTTTTCTACAAAACGGGGGCCGCTCAGAGGAAAAAATGAAATTCGTCTGCATGCTCCATACATGTTTCCCTATCACATGCAGCAAGTCCTTTTGAAAAAAAAACCCTCCATGCCAAAGACTTTCCTGGTCAGAAAACATTGACTGCGGAATGCAAGGTCCATCATGCGAATTTATCATCACGACCCTCGAATGTTTTCTGCGACATTAGAGTAGGGTTTCGTGTTGGTAAAAGTACCAATGATTTTCTGATTTTAGTAGGGGGAGTTGTATTCGGGTCGGCTATGAAGGACAAAAAGAGGGTCGTATTTGTGAATGTTGAAGAAGTCGTGGTAGAGGTCGCCTTGACGGGCTTTCTTATGATAGTAGGTTTTATTCCCCTCCCCATTTCGCTCAACTTAGACGGCCATTCCGGAAAGAAAAAGTGGGCGGAGTCGGGCAGATGTTGGCTGGTCTCAGAATTAAATGCTATGTAAATAGTCATATGGAGGAGGGGGGAGGTGGTCAGGGTGGAAGGAGTACCGAGACCCTGAAAGGGGGTTGTGAACTGGGTTTCTCGAAAAAGTAGAGATCTGATGGTAGTCAACTGCGCTTTCGATCACCGGGAGAAATGCCGAGAAATTCATAGAAACTCGACAATACTTTCGTGGAAAACAACTTTTCCGTCTCGCGGCGCAGCTTTCATATGCATAAACATTTTGATGTTAGCTGGCACTACGGAACTGGACACAACCCAGGAACGGTGTACTCATTCGTTGAACATTGGAAAATTCTACAGAAAAGTTCGGCTGGGCCATGAAAAGTTCGATTGAGTTTGAAAATGTGATAAGGATGGTCTTTTAGTTAGGTGTTTAACCTGTAAGTATGATTGTTAAAAAATGGCCAATCCATTCACAAAATTTTATGTAGATGAGGTGTGTATGGGGCGCGGCGGCGGAAGCAGAAGGTTTGGTAATACCACAGGTGAAATTGCGGTAAATCAAGCCGAATTGGTTTGGTGAATTATTTCTCAAAAATTTCATAGATGACCCCTTCAGAATTTTCGAAAAATGTGTATTCCTATCTCACCAGGTACGACCCTCGAAAACAACACATAGGCACTACCGTACACTCCGTCGAACTTTGACTTGACTCTGATATGAAGAGTAGGTGGAATCACTCTGCAATGAAATATAGCACTCACTCTAACGATGTCAGTGCCGAGCACTCCTCTCGCGTCTCCAGTGCCGTACTGTATCCTCCATCTTTCTCTACTTTTCACAAAACTGCTGGATTGCTCCATCGTAAACTTGTGCTTTCCAAAGCACGATCGACTGAATTGGAATTTCTCCTATTTTTCCATAAAAGGAGCAGAAGCTACCTTAATATTAAATAAAAGAAGGAGAAAAGCTGAACGATTTGGCCTTTTCCCTTGAAAGCCACGAGTCAGGATTAGGCAACCAGCAGAAGTTCTTCCCAGGGTGCGATAGTGGGCTCCCCAAGCACTGAGGGCGCGACACTATCGCGACCCAAAAGTGCGCGGCAATGGCGCTAAGGCCTTGCCCGCCGCGCTGCCCGCGCTGCCAGCGTAATCCACCACGGCATACGTGGTCTCTGCGTCCTCTCGCGTACGACGTACTATCTCGCGTTCTCCCTCTCCTCGCAGCGCTGTGTCTCTCCGTCGTACTACGGCCGGCCTCCTCGGAGAGAATTGCTCTCCATCTAATCGCTAAGTATATTTTTGTACTAGCCGATTGCTTTGATGTAAATAAGCTCTGTTTCCAGTTTTTTTTTCAGAGACTTCTTTCTTCAGACTTTCAATAAAAACAACATTATGCTTTCGCTTTCCTGCCGGCTATTGCAATGTAACTGATGTACCTTGTGCAAATTGCACCGCTCGCTAATAAATCAAAAAAGATCACTTATGAATACTCACTCGCATTTTGTATGTGGGACCCATAGGTTAGCAGAACCGGTGTCAAGTACCACGACGAACGGCTGACCAGGTGTACCGATGGTAATGTTTCCTACGTACTCGTAGTCCGCGTAATCGTCCACCTAAGAAGAGGTGAGGTCATGGGAATGTGTGACATAAAGTAGCACATTTACTTTGCACGGCCTTTCTCCTCGCTTCTATGGCGAGTATAAGGATGTTCCTTGAAGGTAAAGCCTTTGTTAGTTGATTCATGTGGATCTCTAAACATTTGAACGAAGTCATCTCACAATCAGCCCGACATCTGGCGAGTTTCAAATATCTAGAGTGAGAGTAGATCCCCTTGTCACTAATCATGGAAACCGCACACAAACAGTTCTAGGAGTGGAGTTATTTGTTTCCATAGAACAGCATTTTTGAAAACATCCAGAATTCTAGGAAACTTTTAAGAGAACCACTAACCCGTTGTCCCATCGTGTCAAGGTTCATAACATAGCGTAGTGATTCAAGTCGTTGAAGGTACTGGGCGTAGACTCCTCGTTCAATCATTTGGATCTGAACGATTGCTTTGATTTCTTATCCTCTTCATGCTGGAGTTTCTTACTCGTTTATTTATTGCAGTCAAGAGCGCGCATTAAAAAAATAGTGCAAGTAAAACTAATGTAATCAAATTCACACATAATTCGATTCTCTTTCTCTTTCAATTCTAGCGTGAATATCATCGGCACTTTCTAAGTCGCTTGTAGACTAAGGATGAAAACCCAGTTTGGAGGGAGCACTCCTTGCTGTATTATCCTTAGTCCTGGAGAGCACTCCTTTGGGCTATCGAACACTACGGATAAGATAATAAGTGAACGACTCATTTCGAGTGTACTTTTGATAAGGACCGGTGGATGCCTACATTCCACACTACCTGCCCACATCCCATCCACTTTTCTGCACAGTGTGATCCACCGTGGAGCTCTTTCACCTTTGTCAGCTCTTTCACCTCACACTCTTTCTCCATTCCCCTCGTTCATGACCGTTTCCTTGGACCGTATGAGACCAAATAGTGGGGAAACACAGATTCCTTGCACACTACACCGTTGCTTATCAGAGGTACAATTTAAAGGAGTCAATTACAGAACATGAGCGCCATATTCTTGTTTTGTTTCCTAATTGCTCACCTTTCTTGATTTCTTCCACAGCATTGGATGCCGGTAAACCGCTGCCGTGGCAAGACCACATAACACAGCTATTACAAGAAGGTGCATTGCTTTCTGAAACGATTCAACATCGGCCAGTCTTGAAAAAAATAAAAAGTAGAGACCTTGGTTGCTCAGTAATACTAGAGCGTGCTATGACTATAATATAACTATATAACATATAACTACTAACTAATAACTATTTATATAACTACTTTTGGTAGTTGCGGAGATAACGAAATGAGCATCTGACCTACACAATGAGTTGCGATGACATATGTGGCTGTTTCATAAGTAGCCACGAATGGCATGCCGATGTTTCACCTACAGCTATTTTTCTCCCAGGCAAATACGAACTTCTCTGAACAAAGGGACAGTAATCAGT